TTTTTGTGCAATTTCCAAAATTTTACGTCATGTACAGAAAATGAATTAAAAATGAACAAATAAGCCACAAAAATCAATGATTAAAGAGTAATTTAATAGTAAAATATTAACTAAAATAAGCACTTATCAGTTTCAGTTAGTTTTTTAGGGTGTTATCCGAGTTCCTCGTCAGAGCATAGGTTGCCAGAAATCGAGAAGCCGAGAAGTTGCTCCTTTACCCATTCCTTGGCTTGTTTCAGTTTTGGGGTGTTTTTAGGTTTCGGGTTAAATGTTTGGAGAGGATAAGAAGTTTTATAGGCTTATAAGGGGTCGTGTGGTCCCCCTCGACTGGGTGGAAGATCGAATGGAGTAGAGAGAACCACTGTTAGATTGATAGTCGATGATCGAGAGGCTTTGAACCTCAATGGTGAGCGTCGTTCGTGGGGCATGGAGAGAGAGAGAGTTGAGATGAAAAAAATAGAGGGGAAGAGTTTTTTTTTCACGTCATTCTGGAAAGGAATAAAAAAGGGGTTTTTGTTTTAATCTTTTGGGTAAATATGTGTAAGGTCTCTCATTTATAATGTATTTCATATTTTTGTCACCAAAATTAAAGGTTAGTTATGTTTAGGTCCCCATACTTTAGGTTCCTATTTGTATTTTAGTCACTATTCTAGGTTAAATTACTCTTAGATCCTCATCTGTTTAGAGTCTCTTTGCATTCTAGTCACTTAATTTAAGAAAAAAAATCACAAAATAATCCCCCAAGTTATGCATGTTTTTACATATTAGTCACTATGCATTATTTTGTTTTATTTGTTATGATTTTGACCCTTTGCTTTGTTTCATTTTAATTTTATCACTTATTTATGCTTGTTTTATTTCGAATTAACCACTGATTTTTTAATTTCTTGCACTTTAACCACTGTTATATTTATTTATTTATTTATTTTATTATTCGAATCGACCTTGTGGTGACCCGATCCCGGGTACGATTCACATTATTATGGTTCGGACTCTATTAACATCTAACAACTAACATCTAATCACTAATCTCTAACATATATTATATGTAAATGCATCACGTTTATAGTTATATTATGTATACATTTATATTAATTGGTATTTTATTTGTTGTGTGACATATTATGAATTATATATTTGCATGAAAAATATTTATAGTAAGTATTTTTTAAATTCTTTTATATGGTTTTATGTATTAGTTTTTGTATAATATATTTGAGTGCAAAAATAGAGTGTAGTCATATGACATTTATTTTAGTGTATAATGTTTTTTCTTTATTTCCACAATTTGCATTTTCGATTTATATTAGCTTACTTGAAACTTAGACTGAACCATTAAGTTTTGGTTGCTTTTAATGTTTTTCATAGAATATTAGATTTTAGATCGGACCCTTAGATTTATATTTTTAATATTTTGGTCCTGATATAGGTTACCTTCTCTTTGAATTCACTCTCTAAATTTAGATGTATTTTGAGTTAGTCCCTAGAGCTTTAATTATTCAAATTGCATAATTGATTAAAATTAATTTAAGTTAATACTAGAGCCCACATTTTTAGGTAGTTATATTCATTTTGGTCGAATCAAATTATTTTAATATCGAGTTCTTGGAGAAATTTTTATATTCTTTTTATTTCAGTTGGAAAGAGAAATATTCGTCCTAAAGTATTTTAGGGATTACTTTCTCTTCGATTGAGAATATTGAAATATTTTCTATTTCTCCTTAGAATTTCCCATTAAATGAAATTGTTTGATTGAATTTGGAATGAGATGATCATAACTTAAATTTATATTTGAATTCTTAGATTTTCACTATTAGAGACAATTTATAATTGACGAGGTAGCAATTTTGGGCGTTGTGGGTGTCTTATTATTCCCCAAACGTAATTGACCCCCGAACCATTTTTTATTACTAAAAAATAATGAATTTCTGGTTACACGTGGATTGATACATCTTTTTTTTTTGAAAGAGGGTACTTTGTATTATAATGAATAACAAAGTACACCACCTCAAGGACCTAAATAAAAAACCTCTCTAGTCCTAAATGGAGGAAAAATAGTGTACATTGAGGTGGTAATGATATAACCATACCAATCTTACATAATTCATCCAAACCCCATTCCTACAACAACCAACAGCTCATAAAGAAACAACACAGACAACCAAGTAGGTATGATGGAAACTAAAAAGAAAGCATAAATAAGCACCAACACCACAGGGAAATAAACGAGGAACAACAGCCTTCTGTCTAAGCAAACCTGGGAAAAAGAACACGGCAGCAGCACAAAATCAATAGAGAAATTCAATCCTTTCTGTAGCAGGGTTTGTGTCGGCAACACTTGTTTAATTCCATAGAAAAATACACCAAAATCAACACAATTCTGGAGACGCTAAATCTTTTGAGAACGTCACTTTCAGAACCAACAAACTTAAAACCAAGTTTCTTACCTAATGAAAGTTTACTCTCCCCTTCAACAAAAGTAGCAGCTCTCCTTTTCTTTAAATCCGTATCTGAAAGAGATCTACCTGATAATTCAGAGGATATTAAATCTAACTTCATCAAATTGAATCTCTTCAACGCTTGATCTCTTCTTTTTCTCTCAGCTTTCGATAGGACTTTGTCTTGAATGTCTAATAGAGAACCAAATTTCTTTTTCTTCTTATTTTTCCTAATTGACAGATCTTTTTCACTTGAGTTAACAGAACCCAAATTGATTCCATCGCACTTCTCGCATGATGCCACCTAACTATCACTAATTAAATCCAATGAAGCTTCAATTGATAAGCCCATCCCTTGAGGAAGCCTAATTTCTGGAGAGCCTTCAACATCCCCAACATCCTTACTGTAATCTCCAAGGCTTTTAGCAGTGCACGCTACATAAAAAGCACCTCTACTAGATATGGGAGGCTCTATCTTGTTGTCTGAACTTCCCTACGTATATGCTTCTGACAGATCCACGGACATATTTGCCAAAGAAACACCATCTTAATCAGCCTTAAACTCGACTCCATCTTTATCATTCTCAAACTCCTTTTTCTTAAGAATTTCAAATTTGGTCGAATTAACTGACGAATAATCCACCAACCCGACTTCAGCTGATCGAACCATAAACTTCTTATTTTCCACCACTACATCTACAACTTCATCAATCCGAGCTTCAATCGAAGTAGAAATCAACATATTAACCTTTTCACAATCTAACTGATGGTTCACGTTTTCACCAAAAGCCTCAAATCTACCCCACAAGCCAACTAATCTTTTTAAAGTGGTTTCATTCCAGCACTGCAATGGTAAACCAGCTATCTCTAACCATACAAATATTTCGATTTGGCATAAAGACTCTGTCCAAGGCATAATATCAACGAAAATCTCTCCTTCAAGTAGGACCACTGAAGGTCTTCAAGCATGATAAACAACTCTTCATCCTCGATGGTAAGCAGAAAAAAGTTCCCACGAAATCTTTGAACTTTAATTTCCCCTAAGCCCCAGTTTTGTAATCTATCAACAATACTCCAAAAATTACATAAACTGGCCATAACTCCCACCAAACACCTCCTCATCTTTCTTTCTTCATCCTCATCAACATGACCCAACATTTTCTTTCTGGATGCTTCCACTTGGCCAATCTCCTTGCTGCATGTATTTCCAATTAAGGTTGGACTCACAATTTTTGAATTCCATGACATCTTACTAAGAACACATTTATCCTTTGGGGCCTTCATATCATACTTGGAAAAATTTACTGAGATGCGATTACCATACACCATAAGTCTGTTCAACCGTTCCCTAACTCTTTCAGCTTCTATCGCACTGCAAACTTTTACGAAACCAAACCTAGTGCCTGCTCGACTCCTCTTCTTTGGAATATACACATCCAAAATCTCACCATATCAACCCACTATCTGTCATAAACCTTTCCAGTGAATATTATTTGGAAGATAATCCAAAAACAACGAAACATATTCCGACGACATACCTGAACCACTCTCCCTCATAATGTATTATTACACAAACAGCTGCATGCAACTTTGATTATCGGAAACTGACTCTAGGGACAAACAAGAATCCATACAGTTTCTCAAAACTTTGAAAACTAATTCATAGTTCAACCAAATCTCAAGCACTAAACAACAATCACCCTAACATTGGGCTGGGAAGGTACTCACCCTTAAATTTTTTTCTTTTAAAATGATTTTTCTTAACAATTCTTTTAAAAGTCGGTTTATGGGTATTTGACCTACTTAAGTCAAAAGGTCAATGACGACTCCAAAATATTTATTCACAAATCGATTTTTTCACAAATAAGTCGAGATTCGTGTCGAGCTTAAGGGACGGCTACGACAGGGAAGTACTTGGGTGTCCCCCTTCTTCATTCTAGAGTGACTAATGCTACCTATAGATACCTTGATAGGTGGAAAGCAGGTTATCGGGCTGGACGGCGAGAACGCTGTCATTAGCAGGACGTATTACTCTGGCAAAAGTAGTTTTACAGGCCATTCCCTCGTATGTTATGCAGTCTACCTGGCTTCCAAAAGGTGTTTGTGACACGTGGAGAAGTTGATCAGGAGGTTCGTTTGGAATGCGTAAGAAGGTACTAACGCTTTAGCATTGGTCAGATGGGACATGGTGAAAGAACCGATGGCTAACGGTTGCCTGGGAATCAAAGACACCGAGGCTCAAAACAAAGATTTCCTTATGAAAATTGGAATACAACTACTTCTTGAATCGGATAAACTTTGGGTTCAAGTTTGAGGGGTAAATACAAACGGAGGATATACGCTAAATGTTAATAGTCGAAGTAGTTTCAGATTATGGAAAGGATTGAGCTATATTTGGGATGACATTCGAGCTGGATTGTTCTGAATCCGCAGTACTAATAAAACTGATTTCTGGTATGATAATTTGGTTCATTATCGGCTGTTCGAAGATGAACCTATCCCTACTCCGGTTAATGAGGTGGTGACGACATCAGGAGATTGGGATTTGCAACGCTTGAATTCATGGGGTCCGACCAACATTGCCAGCGCATTGCTGCTTTGTGTCCCTCTAATCCGGCACTTGGTGACGATAATTTGGAGTGGCGTTGGGAGATTAATCATATCTTAACGGTTAAATCAGCCTACAACGTGTTATCCAATCGCGATGTTTCAAATGATCTAAGGAGGTGGAAGGTAATATGGGAGCTAAATATTCAACAACGAATTAAAGTGTTCTTGTGGATTACTTTTCATGGAAGACTCCTCACTAATGAAGAGAGATTCCGTCGACATATTTCAGAGTCGAATAGGTGTAACATTTGTAATTCGGATGTGGAGGATATACATCATGCTCTCCGTAGATGCCCAATTCCAAGGGTAGTATGGAGCCGTTTGATATATGCAGCGAGATTTGTTTGTTTTTTAGCTATGCCCCATGAAGATTGGCTTGTTAGCAATGTGTAAGGTCATGGTAATTTCACCGATTCCGGCTACGCAGTGGAGCACCTTATTTTCGATTGTGTGCTGGAAAATTTGGAAGCAACGGTGTAGCATTTTACATGATCCGAATTGTGGAAAGGGAGGACTTGATCGTTCAAAGTTTTCGACTTAAGCAGGAGAATATTTCAACTTTTAATGCTCCAGCTAATAGGCGACGTCAACGTGTAGAGATTAAATGGAAAGGGCCGGAGGATGACTGGGTTGAATCCAATTGCGATGGAGCGATGGGTGGGGCTAATTTAATGGCGTCGGCGAGGGGAGTTATCCGATACTCTCAAGGAGAGTGGATTATTGACTTTTCAAGGAGCTTAGGAATTTGCTCGGCTCTACTTGTGGAATTATGGGTTGTCCATGATGCTCTAAACCTTACGTGGAATATGGGATACGGGCGAGTGGAGGTGGAGACCGATTGTAAGTCAGCGATTGATATTTTGAATAGACGTTCCAATGCTATGGAGGGGAATGCTTGGACTTTTGAACCGAGATTGGGAGACGAGAATCAACTATATTCATCGAGAAGCAAACACAGTGGCGGACCATCTCGCAAAACTTTCAAGAGGCGCAGCAGTTGGGACAACTCTCTTCCAGGTTCCCCATGAGGAAGTAGTTTCTTTTGTATGGGGTTGATCTAGCACATATGTTCTAAAGCTTGTTTTATCTGTTGGCAAAAAAAAAAAAAATCCAGATTTGTAGATTGACATATTTATACTATTCTTTAGATTTTTAGAAAATATTCTAAATTTCATTCATTTTTTAAAAACATATAGAACTATTAAAATTTATGTTGTAAATTTTATTTACAACAAATTCAAGTTATTTATACCAGACCTCACATGATAAAAAATCATGTGTTGGCATTGGATTGTAACCTATCTACTGATCTTAAATGCTGCACAATAAGAGGCAAGAGGTTTAAAATTCCAACTCATTAATTGAGAAAAATATGATATTATAAATTTTAAATTTTAAATTTCCTTGTTCCATTCTTTTTTTCTTTCTTTTTTTGAATAATAAGGAAATGATCAGCCATAGGAAATACTATTCCTCCACAAGTTGATTGTGTTCGGTCCTCCAGGTATTCTTTATCTATCTCGACTGGAATCTTATGAAAAATTGTGAGATCGAATGAGCTCTTCCAAGCAAGTTTCGCTAGACCATCAGCCACCCTGTTGAAACAATGAGGCACATAGTTGAATTTGACCTGCTAGTCTTCGTTGACCTGTTTCCTTACTAATTTTAAGTGTCCCAATCGTACTTTAAAAATGATTGAAAGCAACTATTATCTTTTCATTAAGATCTTTTAAAAAAATTCATCATCTTAATAAGTCGGCTTCTCCCTACGAATGCCGGTTGCAACATAAACAAATTCTCTTTGTTCCCTATGATAAAAGGATATAGAAGCTCGAATTATGTTCATGTGGATGTTTGTCGATATCAATTTTTAACAGCATTAACAAGAAGCTTTTGTTTTTTCCGTGTCATGGTAGAGAAGCTGAAAGTGAATTATGCCACTGAATATATAGAATGAGTTGATGTTTGTGTCTCGGGCGAGGAAAAGTCCTACCTAGCATAGACTCTTGCTGTATGTTAATATTCAATAATTAAAATTTAATCAATAGATAATATAAATAAAATAAAAGTAAGTATTCTTATCATTTACCCTTCAAACTATATACACAGAGAATATCACTGTATCAGCTATCAATAATCATGATTTATAGATATCTTTAATCTCAGCAGTTATCTTTTCTGACTTGGTCCTCAAAGGTAAGATTAATATGAGAATGAGATGAAGTGTGCGGTGTTTTACGGCTGGAAAACAACGCGGGTCGAACCGAAGTTTTAGCCCTACCAATCGCTTCTCGTTTTCTACCGAAATGCAATCAACAATAAAATTTATATTATCATGCGAAGCTACAAACTGATTATACAATGTAAAAAAATGTTTTAAAGCATTTAATTAGTTTTTCTATTAGATAGAGCAAACATATTCAATCAGTTGATTAAGTTGTTTATTTTTATTCTCTCGTATGTCATACCCTCTCTCAAAGTAGTATTAGGATTACACAGAAATTTATAAAAAAACTTTTCTGCTGAATATACATTGAAATTACACATGAGATAAAATCTTTTAAACATATAAAAGTAATTTGAAAAATATAAATAGTGTCTAAGAAATTATCGAATAATTGGATTTAAGTAAAATAATAGTATATCTTATTATTATTATTATTATTCGAATACATCCTAAACTTATACATGGTAAGCATATCATATTAAATATATCATAGATATTAATAAGTACAAATCTAAAATATTTTAAGAAATGAACACACATATTAAAATAGACGTGATAGTGAAATAAATCTATCTAAACAAAATAAGATTTTGTGTCCACCCTCTAGTTATTATAGATTCGCCACAGGATATTAAACCTAGCGTACTAATAAACATGATAAACATAGCATATTAATAAATATAATGAAATGATGAAGGAAAATGTAAGGTTTTAAAGATAAATATATACATATATATATATTAATTGCTTCCCTAAAAAATGTGCAATCCTCATTTCTTTTTTCTTTCCATTGCATTTGGCCTTTAATGGAAAAAAAGAAGCTCCTACATTACAAAAATGAAAACAATATGAAAAGAAATTATTCTACATCTTTGCGGTGATAACCATAGTAAGATAAATACCATCTAACAAATTTTTTCAGCCCGGTCTGCAAATCGGTTGTGGGTTTATACCCGAGTTGCCTTCGGGCTAAACTAATGTTGGCATGAGTAAACGGAACGTCACCGTTTCCGGGCATATCGACAAACTTCTTTTTGGCTTTCACCTTCAAATGTCTCCCAAAATACTCACCAGCGTCGGCACGTTAACCGGCGACGTATTCCCCAGATTAAATTTCTATATGGAGCGGAGCCCCGTTTCATGCCACCCGACCCGGTACTTTTACCGGATGTATCCAAAGATCCCAAGCAACCTTTCACTATGTCATCAATGTAAGTAAAATCTCTTGCCAAATCTGCCTTATTCTTTCCTCTGTATACTGTGATAGCCTTCCCTTGCAGAATATTTCTCGTAAACGAGAAATACGCCATATCGGGTCTTCCCCATGGACCATAAACGGTAAAGAATCTTAACCCGGTGATGGAAAGGCCGTAGATGTGATTAACTGTGGGTAATTTCTTCGCCTGCCTTTTTCGTGGCGGCGTATAAGCTAGCCGGCCGGTCGGTTCGGTCTGATTCCGAGAAAGGGACATGTTCGTTTAACCCGTAAACCGAACTCGAAGATGCCCATACAACAGCCGGCTGGGGATCGGCCGACTTGCAAATTTCTAGAAGTGTGACGAGGGCGGCTATGTTGCTGTGAACGTAAGAGTTAGGGTTTTCCATGGCGTACCTGACTCCGGCCTGAGCCGCCAAATGCAATACGTGAGTAAAAGCTACCACGTCGAAGAGATTAGCCAATAGACCGGCGTCATTCAAATCGCCTTCCACGACCAAAATGCCTTGTCTGTCGAGCATCGATTGCCTGGCTTTTTTCAGCGAAGGATCGTAATAGTTGTTGAAGTTGTCGAGCCCTACGACGCCGTCTCCGCGTTTCTTGAGGGCAAGGGAAACGTGGGAACCGACGAAGCCGGCAGCTCCGGTCACCAGAACCGACATGCCACCAGGGCGATGGATCTGAGCGGAGCTACGGATTTGTTTCTCCAATTGGATTCCACCCCAGGAAGCGGTGAAATAACGGTTGCCGGAGTCAACGAAACTCTGAAAGCTCAAATACGACGCCGTCAATGCGATCAAGAAAAGGGCCCATAAAAACATGGTGCTGGTGGAAGCGAAGCAGCGTTGGAACTGACGGTTCATGTTATGGGATCTCTCGATCTTGAACTTCCCTGGTGTCGATGGGAACAACGCATCTTCCAGGGATGGCATTTTGCTATAATTCTCTAATTCCCAACTTTATTTCAAAAAAAAGAAAAATGGTTTTCTCAGAAAATGGATATTCTTTCTGGGAATCAGGAGATGAGCAAAGGAGGAGGAAAAGCATAGGAAGAAAAATGGTTAATCATAATCGGAAAATGAAGGAAAATAAATAAGAAAAGAAGAAAAATGAGGGGCGAGCTTTAATTATTCCCGGACCTGTCAATAGAGGTGATAAAGAGGTTATATATAGTGGGTTAGTGGTTAACCTCAAATCAAAGGAGCGACATGTAGGCGTCAACGCTTTTGGTTTTGGTTGCCTTCGTTTTAACCCTCGGCTCGATTAGGTTAAAATTTGCTCACAAATAATATTAATATAATTTATTTGATATATTTAAAATTTTATTGTATACTGATAATATTATTTGAATACTACTCGTTGATACAAACTTTAAGAGAATTTTGAAATTATTTGAAATTGTTCGTCCATACTACATTTAACTGTTGTAATTTGTTTAATAAAAAAACTGTTGTAATTTGTAATTGAGATATGGTTAAAAAATATGTGATAATTTTTTGTGATATATATTAAAATTAACTTTTTGTATTTTTTTTATAGAAAATGCTAATTTGATTGAAAAAAGAAAATATTTAAATTGCAAGGAAGGTTTACAATTATAATCGTAAATTGAACACATAATAAAAATATTTTTCTAAACACGAGAAAATTAGTCACTTAAGATCATAAAAACATACAAGGAAAAGGTTGAAAAACCTAACCAAATAAACTCGGATAAAAAGTAGATACGAACATATCTGCCCGCATCGACAAAATAATCAAAAAAGGGATAAAACTATTGAAAGGCCACTAACAAATCGCAAATTAGAATTGAGTGAAGTGAAAATACTACCTACAAATGTAAATCACATATCCAAATTCAATTCGAGGTCCAAAGCAAGGAAGATAAACATGATAACAAATAAAACGTCATCTTGATCGATCGTGGCGATGTCAAATCCAACCTTGAAAAAAGGATAAACGAAACTAGCCAAACGATGAAAATGTGTCATAAAGATAGAAAAAATAGTACCATAAAAGCATAAAAGAGATGTCATAAAGACAAAATTATTAAAAATTAAAAAATAAGAAAATATAAAGATACACTATAATAAAGCGAAGGAAAAAATGAATACCGACGTTTGACATCAATATCAAGACTGATGTTGTTGCCGATCTCAAAGATGATGAAGAAAAAAGACTATGGCGACTAAGGAAAACTAAAATAATTGTTTTGATAAGAATATTAAAACGTTGAAAACTAAAATGTTTAATAAAATAGTGACTAAAATGATCATTCAAATAAACTTTGAGAATTAATTTTTACATCATATCTAAAGAATTTTACCAATGTTTAAGACAGTTTATACTATTAACCCAGAAGTTATGATTTGAGTTATCCAATGGCCTGCTAGCTTTATGTTTTATTAATTTTAGTCTTTAGTGTAAATGACGTATCAATATATTCTCGTTTCTTTGGAAAATATATCTAAATGGATTAAATTTATGTTTTTTTTATTAATTTACATATAATGTAGAATTTTATCGTTATAATCATTTTTTTTTAAATTCCCACCATATCCTAGAAGTGGTCCTCAAATAGAAAC